CAGCAGGAACAACAGCCCCAGAACCACGGGGATCACAGCCAGCAAGGCACTGGCTATGAGCATGGAGAGTCAGGCAGACACAAGTCCATTCCAGCACAGATCCATGGCAGAGGATGCCTCCAGAACATCACAGCAAGTGGCTGCTCTGACAAACATATCTATGGGCACAGCTGGGCAAGAGCAACTCGGTTCACCATCGCTGGTGTTCCCAAATGAAACAGCCTCTGCTACCACCAGAACTCACACAACCTCTGGTGTGCCTCAAAGCAGCTCTCCGGGTGGTCCTGACACTGCTCTGCCAGCCACAGGGAATGCTGCTGTTCCCACCCTCAATGCCACCCTCAGAGCAGATGTAGATGTTGGAAGAGAGAACAGCTCTTGGTCTGAGAAATATGCTGAAGCTCTGGGGTCACCAGCTTTGCCAGGAGCCTCTGCAGCTCCCAGCCCAACCCCAGACCCATCCATGGACCGCAGTGAGTACACATCCAGTGGGGACATGCACGTGTGGTAATTCAGCTGTGTGAGAGGCAAAGCCTCACCCAGAGTCAGGAAAGATGCCAATCTGGAATGAGGGGTCTGGTGTGAAGGCGTCTGAAACTAGTTTTTCTATGTAAAAATTATTTCCTTGAAGGAATTGCCTTTTTTTTTCATAAATCAGCTTGTCAAAATAATTCCTCTTTCTAGTAATTTGGGAGTTGATTTTATCAGTGTTGGACTTCTTCATCTCAGAGTGGATGAAGCACATGAGTACACTGATGAGTGTGGCTCATCACAACATTTGTTGCTTGTCCTTTTTTCACACATGCTGGTTCCTCCTGCATGCTCTGGCCCCAGGGCACTGCAGCAGCAGTCACCTATAGAGTTAATTTAGAGAGCTGGGGAGGCAAACGACCTGCCTTCCTATTTCTGTGCAGAGGATGATTAGTCAGAGTCCCCACAAATCCCCTGTGAGGCAGGAGCTGCCTGGAAACCTGTGAGACGCTTTCAAAAGCTGTAACTGAGAGTAACTAGGCTGGCTGGGAGGGCTTAGTCTGTTTGGGTTTCGGCAGATGCATCGCAGCTAATTAGGGGATTTTTCAGTTGATTGGAGCTGGATCATATTTCAAAGTTAGAGTCCGATTTGGTCTTAAAATTATGGTTTTGTTTGGGATAGGAATGCTGCTGTCTCTGCCCATCACTAAATGTGTTAGGGTTTTTCTTCTGTAGTATGTGACTAAGTGACAACTATTCCAATTTTGTTTCTGCTTGTCTTTTTTCTCTCTCTCTGCCCTTCACATCTCTCTGAACCCAAACCACACTCCCCTCTGCTCTTTTCTCCCTCCCTCTCTTACAATCTCCCGTTCCTGGTGGTCTCCACTCATCCAGCTCCACTTCTGGTTCTCCCTCATTCCTTTCTCCCTGGAAAACCACTTTACAGCTATGTAAGACCAGTTCTGCTGCTTCTCCAGCCTCTCTTGTACCCTCAGCTCTGCTCACCAGTTCCACAGTGTCTGTTCCTGCCACACTCTGGGCATCCATACCAATGCTCTGTTCAGCTTTTGTTGTCTGTCTTCCTCATATTGTGGCTCTGTCTTGCATGGGTGAGACCTGGGGACAGAGATGAGCAAATAATCGATTTGAGACCTCAGTGACCAAAAAATGAAAACAATTTTGGATTGAACAGCATGTTAACCTGAATTGAAAAGCTTCATTTACAGCTTTGCTTTGCCTTATCCCTGCCCCCTTTCCATGTAGAGTAAAAATCTGTTTGTTTGGGTTTTTTAATGAAAGCAATTTTATTTTTTCAATATCGAGAAAACTAATTTTGTTGACAAAAAAACAAGGGTAATTTTTTTTCCCAGGTGAAAAATGATTTTGAGAATTCTATAAAAAAATCACTATATAAAAACTTGCTTTCTATTCCTGATGAATCGAATATACAGCCAAATCCTCTTGCTGGGAAAGGAGTTATGAAGGGATTATGCCTAAGGAACAAAAGCAAGATTCATCATAGTGTCATCTCACTAGCCCAGGGCAGGAATTTAGAGGGCAAAAATATATGTTTGGTGGAGTTTAATATGTAGCTCCTCCTTGTGGCATCATCTCTGACCTGGAGGCTCAACCTCAGCCAGCTCTTCAGTCTGCTGTGTCTTTTAAATACTGATTTTTTTTTTCATTTGAGAATTGTTCAGAGCATTTTGCCCTCTCACCATGAGATAACTGAATGTAGTTTATCCTCTAAGTATGTTCACCAGACAGGATAAGCCACAGCAAAAAGCAAGCCCCAATCCTTTGATCTGACTGGTGGTGGAGAGGGTTCCTTCAGGATCAGAAGTATGCTGGGATAAAGGAAGTCTGCTTTGGTGCCTTGCTTCCAGCAGGCATTTCTCCTCTGCAAAGCTTTACTTGATGACTATTTCTTTTTCTCCAGTATCTGTCCCAGTTCAACGATTATTTTCCCAATGTGACTAGAACCAACTTTGATGTTAAGTGGTTCACAGAGTTTTCTCAGAGCTCTGCTTTACAATTCTTGCTGCTTCAAAGGAAAGCAGCTAAAATGGGAGACTAAAACTGGGTATGGGAGTCTGACAGCCTCAGAGCTGGAACCTGGTGCTTTATAGACTGTTGAAATGCAGGCAGGTGTGTGTAAGGAGGAAAGGAAGCTGCTACACCAGAAAGTAAAGACTAGTAACTTGATTCACACACAATTTTAAACCAAATCTTTAGCCAGATGATAGAGTTCTTGAAGTCTGTGGTGAAGACTGTCCTATATTTATATAAACCATTGAAATATTAGCTCTTGGCATGCCAGGAGTAATGATCTGTTAGCAGCTGCGAGGCAGAGTGAAGACAATCTGCTGGCAATGGTCATGGATGGGGTGACTGCAGTCAGCTTGTCTGGTAAGCCACTAAAAGGATGTTAGGAGTACAAACCATGCCTTGAGAAGTCCTTTCTCTGATCTCTGATCAACTTCAGTGGCCATAGTAAAAACACCAAACCCAGAGATATTGGGAAAACTGGAGATACCGGGAAATAACCTAAAATGTTGGTGATTACCTTAGTGTCATTCAGCAGATACAGCTTCAGGGGGAGCATACACCCTGTTGGGATCAGTCTTATCTTGCCATAGCTGTCTAAAGGGTCAATGTCCAGCCTTCCTCTGAGGCTGCAGGGAGGACCTTGGTGCTGCAGTGCTTTGCCCTCTGGAGGGACTGGTGGGACAGCAAGCTGAGCCTTGGAGAGCAATTCCAGTGCCCAAATAGAGCAACATTTCAAACACCCCAGAGCATCTGAGGCAGAGCTGCCAGATATGAGACCTACAGGAGGTCAATGCCCTTCTTGAGAAGCATCTGGGGCTCAGACAGGGCATACTAAGGTACTGGGTGGGTATGTTTAGACTCTTGGGGTTTTGGCTGCTGTTATGAGTTGATGCACACCTGTGTGGTCAGGCATGTTGGAGACTGTCACACACTTGTCCATGGAACTTGCATTTAAATTGCCTTTTTCTTACTTTGCAGCTGTCCAGAAACTTAGTGGCACAGTTCAGATAATGAACATGAAATACTCTCCAGGCCTCAGCAATACAAGCAGTGAGGAATACCAAACCTTTGCACAGTTCTTTGTTGATGAAGTAAGTGGCTAAGAAAGATGTGACCTGTTACCTGTCTCAGTGAAACCACGTGCATGGTCTGAAGGCTGCTGTTTGCCTCGTGTGTGTCCATTGACATACCTGTAAGGTTTGGGTTTCCTTGGCCATCTGAGACTGCAGGATGAATGTGCTGCTGTGTTTTAGAGAGAGGGCAGGATTTGGGGATTCTCTGGTGCCTCCATTTCCTCTGCTTCTCATACCCAGTTATGCTGGAGTATTGATTTCCTCTAGGGTGTGATGAAAAGTTAATGGCACTTGCAAAGTGCTCTGATATCTTTGCCCTGCACAGCAATATATTAATGGACTCTACGATTGTTATTACCCTTTGTCAAAGTACCTCAAGGCTGACATTTCTTATAACCATCCTTGCTTTTTTAGCTCCATATCTGGAAAGGGAGTGGCTTCTTGACAAGCCACCTCTGCCCTCACTTATGATTAGAGTACAGGATAGCAAAGCACACTGTGGTATCCACTGCACCTTTATTGCTCTCAGAATTCTCAGGCATTACCTTTGACAGTTTCACTCTCCTAATTTCATAATGAATTTATCAGAGGTTTGTCCCAGCTGCTGCTCACTCAAACACACCCATGCCTTGAAAACTGCTGGCTATGCTGAGCTGCTTTATTGCCTTCCTTATCTGCCCTTCACTGTCTATGTTTTTAGAAGCTTTGATAACTGTGATGATAAGTCTATCACTGACAATCACATGAATGTTCATATCCTGCAGAGATCTCCCCAAACTCACGTGTACAGTCACAGCCCATCCCTGAAATGCAGCAGTGCCTACAGCAGTGTGTGCTCAGGCAGAGTTCAGACCAGTGTGGGGGCAGAGACAACTGCAAGGAGTGAAAAACATGATCCATTTGTCTGTGCATGATGTCTTCTTGGATATCAAATCAGTTTCCCACTGGTTGTTACAGGTTCTCACCTTTCTGGATGTGTTAGCAGAGCACAGCTTTCTCAGAGTCGCTCTGGCCCCAAGCTGTCACATCAGAAACACAGTGACAAAACGAGAGTGACGTGATTAGCAAAGTGAAAATGGAGCAATTCTCCACTGACCTCACTCTCATTCAGCATCACACTCTGCCCGAGGCTGATTTGGAATAGCATAGTATTGGAATGGACTAAAATGAATATATTTTCTTCATTCAGTCAGATACCTCAATCCAGAACATCACAGGTACAAATATATTTGGAAGAACTGTGAAATGATTGCATAAAGGAACATAAGTAAGTTTTGTGTCAGTTTTACCTGGTTCTCAAGTTTTCAGGCAGCAAATGCTTGCTTGGGATTAAAAGGAACTAACTCCTTTTTCCAGTGCACTGGTTTTGTGGATCAGCTGGTGAGATGTGTTAGTGTTGATTCCTTCCCCTCTCTGAGCCACTGTATATAGGGTGTCATTGCAGAGCTATTGTATGTGGCAAAATATCATGGCGAAATAACATTGCAAACACTGTGTTTCTAAATGCTAAAGAAAAGGAAGTTTAGGAGACCAGAAAGATCTGGATATTTTCTTTTCAGGTTATAAGGATCAGAAGTTGTTCCTTTAAAGTAAGTGAGGAAAGTTCTTTGGCCTTTAAAAGCACTATCAGATTCCACTTAAATACACTTTGCCAGAGGTTTCTTTTTTTAAAAAACCTCTTTGGAGTCACTATCTACAAATCAGACATTTATAAATCCTAATGTGTATAATGTTCTTTGGCCCCAGCACTTAAGTGCCATGTGGCTAAATTGGCAGCAAATGGAAATACCATCCTTTAAATGATGTGTAGATGAGAAGGAGATAAAAACTTGATGTGACAACCTGCACTGTCACTGTCCAGGGTAGCTTCACCATCCTCCTTGCCACTGAACTGAAAAACAACATAGCTAAGGGCAAGTGAGTGGTTTTGGCTCCTTGGGGTTTGCTCAGCCTGTCTTTTGCAACAGCCAAGAAGAATCTCATGGCAGCTAAGGCTTGTGCTCAAGAGAATGAATCAGGAAAACAAAAGGTCTGAGTTGAACATACATTCACTGAGGTGCACTGAATTCCTGAGTGGAAAGCTTGTTTTGAATTTGGGTGTCTTAAATTTATCTGAGTGACAAAAGGTGTGAAGCTAAGAAATGATACTGACTTAAGAAAGTGAAGTCCTCACTTGGAAGTGGCATAGCCTTTGAGTGATTGCAGTGACAGCTCTCTGAATGTGGAATGAGTGGTGGTACAGGGATTAAGGCAGTTTCACTATTCCAGTGTCATGTCACCCCTTTTGTTAGAGCTCATCCACATCCACATCTTTAAATTTGCTGGTGATAGTGGCTGGGCAGATATATGCTCTAGTGCCTTCTCTCTGAAGGTACATCCAAAGCACAGACAGTGAGGAGGGTTTTTTTTCCTCTATGAGTGAAAAACAGGCTTCATGCAGGGTTCTGTTCAAATTAATGTACCTTCTACTCACTTATTTCCAGTTTCCACTCTGCCAGGGCATTCCCTGCTCTGCCAGCCATGCAGGCTCTTGTGTGGGGACCCACAAAAGCTCCAAAGAGCTGCTGACATTTTCCCTAGGTCCTATGGATGGCTGGTCCCAGAAAACCCACAAACACACCACAGCCACCCATGGGGTGAGCCTGGCTGTCTGGGTTTGTCACTTGGTTTTTTTCTCAAAAGAAATGTTGGTCATTTCCATCCTTTTATATTGGGCTTAGCATGGCTTCCACCCATCCCTGAACTTGGACTTTAGCTGCCTCCTGGTTTTCTTGCCTGACACAGGGAGCTGGTGTTAACTTTGCTCATGTTCTCTCCCTTTCTTGTGTCTCTTATTCTGGCATTCTGATTTCTCCTGGTCTACCATTGCTCAGGTTTCCTTTGTGTGCTACAGAAATTGTAGATACAATGATGGATCCCAAGATCATTTATTTGTCTTCTAAGAAAACCTCATACTCAAGGATAATATATATTGAATATTTCTTTCCAAAAAGTTCACTTCCTCTCCCCCCCCCCTTTTTCCTAGCCCCACTTTCTCAAGCATTATTTTGATAACCCAGGGTGTGGTACCTTCAGGATTTCACCTGTGTGAAATTCTGAAGACTTTGGATAAAGAGTTTTATAGTGTCACCTAGTGGCTAAATATAAACACGGTGAAAATCCCCTGACACTTTTCAAGATCTCGAGTTCTGCTTTGGGAGGAAAAGTAGGAATAAGGCCAGAAATGAAACAAACAAACAAACTAACCTCAGAGAGTAAGTCCTGTGAGGTGCAGCTGAGGGAGCTGGAGGTGTTTAGCCTGGAGAAAAGGAGGCTCAGGAGTGATAAGGTCCCTTATGACCTTATGTTTTCTCAACATGTCTGTTAAAGCTGAATTAATAATAGTCTTGTGACCAGTGTCTGCTCCTCCTGTGGCTGATGCTGGGGCTGGAGCTGAAGGGGAATGATGCTCAAAATCAAATACTGTTGTACATCCCACCCCACCTCAGGCTTCTGTGTAGGACCAGGTGTTCTACCCCATGGACTGCTCTCCTGTGGGAGGAAGACGAGATGTTCCCATGGGTGCTTGTCATAGAATCATAGAATTTTAGGGGCTGGAATGGACATTACAGATCATCTAGTCCCAGCTAGATGGGGACACCTCCCTACTAGACCAGGTTGCTCAAGGCCTCATCCAATCTGGCTTTGAACACCACCAGGGCTGGGGCATCCACTACTTCCCTGGGCAACCTGTTCCAGCATCTCACCACCCTCAAAGTAAAAAGCTTTTTTTCGAATATCTAGCCTAAATTTCCCCTCCTTCAACTTGAATCCGTTACCCCTTGTCCTATCACTGCAGCGTCTAACACAGAGTCCCTCTGCAGCTTCCCTGGAGGCCCTTCAGATACTGGAATGTTGCTCTGAGGTCTCCACACAACCTTCTCTTCTCCAGGCTGAACAGCCCCAACTCCCTCAGCCTGTCCTCATAGGGGAGATGCTCCAGTGCTCTTAGCAACTTTGTGGTCCTTCTCTGGACTTGCTCCAACATCTCCATGTCCTTCTGATGCTGAGGGCACCAGAGGCACCCAGCCTTGGAGGGTGGGAAGGGAAAAGATCAAGCATACAGCTGCAGTCTGTTTATCTCATGAAGAAGGTTGATGGCTCCATCTCTGCTGGTCAGAGGGTGGCTGTGCAGCTCACACAGGGCTGTTTTCCCATCCCACAGAACACAGTCATGGTAAGGGAGGCAGCTGCTGGGACTGTCATAACTAAGGCTCACCGTGCTTTGAAAAAGGTGACATTTTCATTCTTGGGCCACCAGCAAAGTCCAAGGTGACTGTGCACAGACTGTAAACAATTATTCTATTGATGTGTCTAGACTGACCTGCATTCAGCTGTGATTTGGTGCTGTGATACTTTGAGGGTAACTGTTCCAATTAAAAATATTGTAAAGCCATTTCCTATCCTGGCTCTTGGGCTCTCAAGGAGGATCATGAGTCAGGGCTGTGTGCCCTGATGACAGAATTTGCAGAAGTAATATCATACTCCTCAGGGGAGACGAATGAAATGTCTCTGAAATCAAATTGAAGACTAGCCCAAAGGGAGGTTGAACTCTGTGGCTGTTCTGATGAAAAGAAACACCTTTCTGTTTTCTTTACTCTGGTTTGGGCAATTAAAAAGAGGTGCTATTTGTTTGGGTCTGAAGAGAAATCAGCCATGAAGGTGAGAAATCAGCTTGAGGGTGGTCTGCTCTAAGGTGTAATGTACCTGAGCCAAGGGAGCCCTCTGAGACATATATGCAGTGTGGAGTCTCAGGAGCATCTCCACTTGCATCAGTAGCTCTTCCTTGTATTGGACTGATCCCTCTCCATGGAGGCATTTTGAGAGGCAGGACATGAGAACTTCCCTGCAGTCTACTCCCTCCCTTTCTGTTACCAGAGGCAAGGACTTGTGCCAAATGATAGATGAGATATCTTAATTGCTTGGCTTGTTTAATATTCATGGTTAAGTATATATCCCACATCCTTCAGCTGCTGCAGAATGAAAACATCATGAAGCAAAAAGTCAATTTGCTGCTGCTTCCCTCCAGGGGATGAAGCACAATTGTAGAGCACAATGCTCCCTTCTGGGCAGTGTGCACAGCCTAAAATGTGATTGTTCCTATCTGTTAATCCCCACATGCATTTTGTTTTTATTCCAGGTACATAAATCTCTGCCCCTTGAGGTTCTTCAGCAAATGGATGATGGTCTGATGAAAGTGCTGGTAACAGGAATTACCAATGGGAGCACAGTAGTAAGTTTCAATTTACTGATTGCAGAAGATGTGGATATCTACTATGTCATCACCACTTTTCAGGATGCCTTGGAACACAGCTCCTATTTCACAGCTGAAAAGAGCAGCCTCTCCGTACATGGTAAGGAGCAGCTTGTGTCCCAATAGTTCTTCAGAACTAGAAAGATGATAAAGTCTATTATTAATCTGTATCTTTTGAGGTGAAAGTATCTCTCAAACAGATGAAAAACCTTTCTTATATTGCTCCTGCTTATCCATCCAATAAGCTTTTGCAGAGAACATCAGAAGATGAAATAGAAAGTGAGGCACTGCTGATCTGAAAGGACAAAACCAACTAGTCTTTTTGACAGCAGCTAGAATTAATTCTATAAAGAAGATAAGGAGATGGTAGAAACAGTGGTCATGAACTGAGAGGTTTATAAACCACCAGTAGAAATGTGTCCCTGTACACAGACATAACTAACTCTGTTTAAAGTCATTTTGGAACACATTACCCTCTGCTTTGCTGTGATAATTTTGCATGAGGTGGAAACCCCAAGAGAGAAATAAATGAACATGTGAACTCTTCTGCACTGGGACTATCTGTTCTCCTCACACACCTGTGGGTCAGGAGTTCAGGTGTAACCCACACTTTCCCAAGACCAGCACAGATAGCTGATTGTACAACTGCTCTTTTTCTTCAAATGTAATTTAAGTCAGTAACAAGAAACATGTGTCTTTTGGCTGAATTCTGCTTCACAAGTCAATGTGCCATCTCTGAAAAAAACCAAACCCAAATACTATATTCTTAACACCATACCTTTGTCCAAATAAGATTGTTACAAGCTGTCAGAATCTCATGCAAAGTGATTTCAGAAACATGTTTCTGCCCAGAACATTCTTTTTGCCTGCTACACTCACAGCTGTAAATCTTGAAAGTTAAATGTCCTGTTAATTAGGATCACAACTATCTCATGGTAATGCTTTGTGGAATGCCTGCTCCCCTCAAACCTGGGCTAAAACAAATGATTTGCTGCAGGGACAGGTCCCCATAGAGCAGGTGGTTGGTGCTGGTTTCTGAGTCCCACCTAAGGTGTATGGCCTTATTTGCTCTGTTTTTTAGACCTTGGGAAGGGAAAGGGAAGTAAGAGCATATTTTTCCTTCCGAAAGTGAATTTTGGCCTGTAAAAATCAAGAAAGCAGCTAGACTGCAACCTGGGCCAGTCACACAACCTTCCTGCTTCACTCATGCTGGGCATTTAGTAACCATCTCCTCAGGGGTGTGAAATAGGGGAAAAACTGGGAAAGCTCCCAGGGTTAGGAATATCCCTTTGAGCTGTTGGTCAGTTTAGGAGGATAGGAGCAGGGTGCCTACATTTCAGTGAGTATCTGCTGAGCATCATTGCTAACACAGCTCCTGGAGGGGTTTGTCAGTGCCTTACAATTAGCCCTCTAGGCTATGTTTCCAGACCCAGCAGCTCCCTGACAGGCACAATAGAGTGTCACTAATAACAGGTGTAATTCCACTATGACATCATGATGATATGATTGTTCTCCAGTTTCAGAACCATCACATTTTCATTTATGTGAAATATAACTCTCCACCTTTGCCTTCTGCTTGAATATACCCCACAGATTATGATGAGTGTGAAAGTGAAGAAGATGATTGCTCCCCAGATGCATCGTGCCATAACACCCTTGGGTTTTACCAGTGCAGCTGCAATGAAGGCTTTGCTGATGTGCAGCCAGAAAGGCCTGGAAGAAGCTGTGAAGGCAAAAATAAATTATTATCTAATGCCTAACTGAAGGTTTAGTTATCTGATCTTTAGTAGATCATGACCAGCTTTGTCACAGGTCTTGAAATTTTGCCAGGGATTAGTTTGGCTCTCTGTTTTCAGCTGAATCCTAATGAGAAAATCCTTGCAGTAGACCTCAAGTATTTTTGACTGCAATACTCTATCATGACAGTTTACTATATTAATATTTAATGTTCTGTCTCTCATATTTGCCACAAAAATTAGATAGGATTGTCAAGATGGTTAATTATTTTCATGAGCAGTAGCAGAGATAATAGAGAAGGTAAGAGAAAGTCCTAGTAGGTGGCTTGACCTTTGTGTGGCAGCAGGAAGAAATGTTGGTATTACAAACTACTATTTGTATGAGTCGATTCATATGGCTTCTCTCTTTCCTCAAGTCACTTGTTAGCTGACACAGGATGGCTCTTTAAGCTCCTGAATTCTCTTAGGCTTCTTCAGTAGTTTAAATTTGTTTTTGTAACTGCAGTGATAAGGAACTCTTGCACTGAAGTCACAAGGATTTGTCAACTGATACCAACCTTTGTTCCATTTTGTTTAACCAAGATATTAATATGATAATAAGCTTTAGGAAAATCCAGCTCTGAAAGAGCTCAGACTTGTTTTTCTTCATTCATTGCTCAAATCAGCAGCTTTTTAATCTGGGGCATTTCTGAAAGCTGAGGAGTTCCAGAGGGAGATAGATAGATGGATAGATGGATAGATAGATAGATAGATAGATAGATAGATAGATAGATAGATAGATAGATATGTGTGTGTGTACAGATTTTATATATTGCTTGGGAAATAGATGGGGTTTTTTTATGTTCAAGCCCTTGAAATTACTGAAGAGTAATTTTGTGCAGTGAGACACATTTTTTGTGTTTCCCTGGAAAAGGAGTTTATTATCTTGATGGGTCTCTAAGTCAGTAGTGGATGAACACTTAGGTTTCTATCAGCCATGGGGTAACCCCAGAGGCTGTGCTGCATGTTGGGTGTTTGACATGCACACTGATCTCAACCTGTGCCTCCCCTTTTCTCCACTTGCTTTCTTCCTGAAACCGTCAAAGATTGCTACTAATACATCTGTTCAGCTCCCACTGTCACTCAGGATATATGTGCAATGTGGACCTGCCTACATGAGGTTTGTCCCACACTTCCCACAAAATGGGCTTTCCAAAGTCCTCAAGGTCATGTCTTCTGGGTACCAACTGGTCACAAATGGGACCAGTTTTTTTATCAGATTCTGCTCCTGTTTATACTCCCATACAGAACTGTGCAGTCTCCTACAGTACTAGGAAATACCACATGAACACTTGTTGAGCAACTTGCAAGCACTGATCTTCCTAAAACTCTGTATACATGTTTTGCACACTAATTATTGCAGCTTTCAGGAAATAAAGCACTTCAGCTTTACTCACAGACACTTGATGTGTCTCTTGGGCTCTTTCTTAACAAAAGCCACAGCTTTGGTGGTATTAGAGCAGGTTAAAGAAACAAAAGCAGAAAGTTTCCTGCCAGTAACTGTGAGTTTCCTCCTAACAGTTTGCTTTTGCCTTATGAAATCAATCTGAACCTGTAAATGACAACAGTACCTTTGTTTTTGGCACTCTTCAGCATTTCCTACCAGCCAGAAGGTAACAGTGATGGACAAGCAACCTGTGCACAACACAGTTTTACCTGTGATGTCTTCACAAACTCCAACTCATGTTTCTTCCTCTGCTTCACTGAACTTCTCTCCTACTGAAAATGAAGCTCTGGAGGATACCATGTTCTCCAGCACAGTGTTGTCTCCTCTCACCATGGAACCTGTGTCAACTCCTGACATTCCTCCTCAAGCATCTCTAGTCCCCCTTGTCAAACCTACCCAAGAGGTTTCCATTAAAGATGCAGTGAGTGTGTTTTGTGAAATTGAGAAGATTGTCCTTGCCATCCAGAAGAGATTTTTACAGCAGCAATCTATTCCAGAGACTTCCCTGTACCTGGGGGAGCCTCGCTGCAATGTGAGCATCAGCAATGGCACTGAGGTTGTGCTGCAGGCAGGCTGGAGAGACTGTGGCACCCAAGTGGAGACTGTAAGTCCTCTGAGCTGGGGAATGCAAAAAACCTCTGGAGAAGTGTTTTCTCTGGGGAGCATGAGGGGAGGGGCAATGGCAGATCCTTAGCTAAGTATACAGACTGTTAGTAGCTGAAATTTCTTTGGAGAAACAGCCCCTTCCTATAATGGAAAGTTACCTCTCAGTTTGGGATGGGGAGCAAGCAAGAAAGAGGAGGAGAATCATTGATGTCAGGCAGCAAAACTCAGGGGCCTCTCCAAAATGAGTCACTTCCTATGTGTCTATGGGATCCCTTTGCAGCTGTCAGAAGCTCCTCTTTTCTTAAAAGCAATTTCATCATTTTATTTTGACAGATAATTCAATCGCTATCAGCAGCAGAGACAAAGAGTGATGGCTATCTCTTTGGATCCCAGACCAAAGGCATTGTTCAGACCATGCCAAAGTATATAAATTCCCTTCTGGAGCAAAAATCATTGCAAAGGAATTATCACTGCCCCATCCCTGGAGATGTTCCAGGTCAGGTTGGAGCTCTGAGCAACCTGGTCTAGTGGAAGGTGTCCCTGCCCATGACCAGGGGTTGGAACTAGATGATCTTTAAGGTCCCTTCCAACCCAAATCATTCAGTGGTTCCATGATTAGATATGATATGATAAGAAGGAAAAGTGAATTTTCATTGTCTCACTGTACAGCAAGAAAGATCCTAGAGTTTCCCTGTGTTTGGCTTTTGCAGCCAGGAGAATGGAGAATACCTAAGCACTTGATGCTGGTTAAGCCTGTAGCTCTGCTCTATCCCTGGAAACACTGATATTCACAAGTTGTGCTTTCTTCTTTCTCTGCTGCAGAACATGACTCACACTGTAGTGAAAACCATCCTTCGGAATGATGTTTCTGCTCAGGGAATAATCCACCACTTAAAAGTTGCTAGTCCTATTCACTGTGTATTTCAAAATGATGCCTTGGCTTCCTCTGGATACACTGCAGAAGGGTAAGGAAAAACTCTCTGTGTTTTGAAATGTTGCTCTGTGGCTCAGTGCTGCTGCATTAGAAAAATTCTCAGAGTTCTTAGCTGGAGCCAGTGATGCACTTTGCTATGCTAAATAGTCTGTCAGCCTGGGAATCCTGTGCTCAGGAGGCCTTTGCTATCTGCTTCTCTCCTGATCCATCTGGCTGTTGCCTGACTAAACCACAGATGAAAATAAACCTTTGGGAGTCATTGGTGCAGGTTCAGGAGTCAGAATTCTTGGCTTTTCTTTGCCTTCCTGGGCATGTAGCAATCCCATGGAGCAATAACATTATCCTCCTGCTTTTGGCACAGTTATGTGTCTTTTCACCTGATGTTGGCATGCAGGCTGCTATGTGGGTTCTGAAGATGGCAAGTTTTAACCCCCAAAATTCTTATTTGGTCAGCTTGTGAAAAACAGAAAATATGTAAGGCAAATACTGTGGGGTTTTTTAATGGAAGGCTCCATCTTCGATGAGATGGAATCAAATCTACACTTCACAGAAAACCAGGCCCATGCTCACAGAAAATGTGGCAACACAAGCTTTTCTCTGATGGGGAATGTCCTCCCTTCACACAAGTGTACCTCCTCTGTCTTGCCTAGCACCATGCTTAACCCTGTTCAGGCTTCCTATTTTCCTTTCCCTTCTCTCTGAGCTCTATAATTTTCTCATTCCTCTGACTGTTCAGATTTGTCCCTTCTCAACTCTTTTTTTCCCTTCTCTTCTGCATGAAGCTTTTACTATCCTTATTTTGAACTTTCAGAGAGTTCATAGACTTGTTCCCCTTCCGCTCCACTCAAATATCTCTCTCTGCCCTATTTATATAGCCAAGACAGGATTTTCCCACTGAGGTTTCCCTGCTCTCTACCTTCCCAACTGAAAGCTCAGTGCATTTTCACCCTTTCCTTTTGAACAGTATCCTGCCATCCTGGACTGCAGATAACTCCTCATTATTTAAATGCACAAGAGGTGGAGAAACAGGCACTGATTTATGGCTTAGAGAAACATAGAGTCAACCTTGTGGTCTTGAAAGGAGGTTAATTGATTTTTCAGACTTTACACCATCTTTGAGGATTTACATGGATCTGGACACTTCAGAACAGAAATGCAGTTGTTTATTGGAGACTCCCCAATACCAAAAAATTTCAGTGTCTCTGCCAGTGACGATGTCCTGATCAAAGTGGGGATCCAGAGAGCAGACAGCAAGCTCAAGGTGGTTCTCACTGACTGCTGGGCAACTCCAACTAATAATTCAGTGGATCCTCTCTCATTTGTTTTCATCAGCAACAGGTACAGCAGTGCCACTTGTAAATTGCATGTACCATTACTTAGGTCTTCCAGTGGTGCTGACTATTAAGGTGTTGTATTTTAAGTGCTTTTTTTTGTGTGTTCCCACCATTCATATGCACAGTTTTACCTTTCGGACTGGTCACACCTTCTTTGGACAAGAAAAGTAGGTATGAAAAGAGCTTTCAAAGGGTCATGTTGTAGTTGTAGTTGGTTGTCTTCCCTGTAGTTTTGTCAAGGAATTGTACTTTTGGCCTGAAGAAGTCACCTGAAGGTGATTTTGGCAGTCAGTAGTGAAAGAGGACTTGATAAGTGTGGGGTTTATTTCTCTGTGGTTTCAGCTTTACCCAGAGTGTTTGTGCCTCTCATCAACAAAGAAATAGGTTAGTTGATTCCTCACACACAACAGTAATGCAAACTCTGGTAAGAGTCAGTTCATTCCTGTCTGGATCCCTAATCTCACCCCAATGTCATATTCCTTTCCTCACATAGTCCTTTTGCTCAGTAACAAAACCTATTCCTTCTAATGTGATGTTCTTTCCATTTGTGTTTGGTGAAGACAAGTTTAAATCATTTTTTCTGTTGCTCTTGCCTTTCCAACTCTCCAACCACTTCTCAGATCTCCTATTCTACTCAGTAACTGTGAGAATAAGGCAGCAAACAGCCCCTTATCACCACTGCACTGCCAGAGAGTTGCTTCATAATGGGTCTGGCTGTGACTTCCTAAAGGAGCCTTAGAACCTGAATGAATTGCTATGACCACAACCTCCTTCCCTTCCCTAGCTGCTATGTGTGGCTTTTTTCTCTTCCTTTTCAGCTGTCCCATCCCAAATACATATACCACACTGATAGAAAATGGGAAATCAAGCAAAGCACAGTTTAAGATGAAAATTTTCTCCTTTGTCAACAATTCTGTGGTTTACTTACACTGCAGAATTCGTATTTGTATGGAGGCACCAGGAAGGAACTGCAGGACGGTAAGTATTTTGCTCTGATATGCTATTTTTCTCCACAATATATATTTTTCTCAGTGTCATATGCAGTCCTGAAATGGAATGGAAGGAGTAATGTTTCCAGACAGTGTTTAAAACAGTTGTTGAAGTTTCCTTCATTGTCTGCTGAGAGCAGAGAGGAGTGGGGAACAACTACAACTGTATGGAAGTGTTCACCTTTCTTCCCATTCCTCATCCTCAGAGTTAAAAACATGGAGCTTGCACAGCACTGGGGAACCTGAGGACTGGACCTTTCTCAGTAGTACCAGCAGGAAAGGCTTAGCAAATTGTTCTGGGATGTTTTTCTGTCCCTTTTTTTTTCCCCCCGTAGAAATTTGCTTCTCCAAGTGAAAGCTTAGCTGCCAGGAAAGGAAGCTCAGTGGCATTAAGCTTCCAGGGCTGTGAGGTTTTATTATGGCTTTTTGAAGCCTGATTGCTTTATGAAGCAATAAACCAAGCAATGTTCTGATAAGAAGTGCAGTTTCTAATTGTCTCTGCTACAAAGCATTGCTTTGTTTCTTTTTACTTCTGAGTAAGTGATACATAGCTTTATCTACGAATGTATTTCTGCCATAGAAATAATAAAAGTAGTTTTTGCTGATGGCTCTTTTTTTTCCCTTCACAGCAGACACTGGGGAATTCTCCTCTTCCTCTGTGTACCTTCCTGCCTCTTTTTCTATCGAGGATGTTTTCATTAGCAGTTTGGTGTTCCTCCATTGTTTAACACTTTCCTCTGGCTCTAAATAACACAGTTGAAGCCCATTATAAAGCAAACCACCTGTTCCTAAAAGATTAAAAATGTCTACCAGGAGATACTTGTTTCCTTTCTCAAAGTATAAAGCTTCCTCCAGATTAAAAATCAAACAAAAATAAAAAGTAGGGACAGTAAACACAACTGACAATGGTAAGATGGGTCCAGGTTTTGCAGCTGAATATGAATTTGCATGTTAAAAATCAGTGCTTAGCTACCCACAGCTGGTGACCTCCTTTGGAGGAGGTGGTGCCATCCCTGAGCTCACAGTGTGCTGCACAGCTGAGGATGGATATACACTCAGAGATATGTACCAGCATCATTGTTCTTGCTCTGATGCAAAATTTAACCCCTATGAAAAGTCAATGAATTCAGTATCTTAGATTGTGATCAAACTGTGAGGCAGAGAAGACAAGCACTAGATAAATCTACCCAGGCTGACCATGGATTTCACAAGGAAGGGAGGAGGAGCTGCAGGAGGTGCAAAGATCATGGAAAAATTGGAGCAAGAGCAGAGTATATTTGGAAAGAAAGTGAGATGGCTGGGAAAGTGCTCAGGATCTGGGATCTGATCCTCTGATCTGTCTGTTTGGAGACACTGACTTGATCCAATGCAGGTTTGCTTCAGCTCTTTACCCACAAAATTGTGACTTATCTATTGTATAATTTCTTCTTACTCAGTATTTTAATTCCTTGCTTTCTTGGTAGAAGAGGTTGAGGTGCTTGAAAGTCTAGAGTAGAAAAAATAGCCAGGATGGGGAGCAAGGTAGTAAGAAATGTGTAAAATACATGACTTTGAAAAGGGATGTGCCACCACCATGCACATGTTTGATGGGCTGTGGTTGCTCCACAGCCACATGGAACCAAAAAATCATTGGCACCAGGGAGCAGCTACATAACCATATTCTCCTAGCTGGGAAAGCTATTTGAAGGTAGGCCAAAGTTATGGGTACATGGGTATTTTTCTGGAGACTGACCCACCTAAAGACACTGTTGCTGACAGTGGATTGTACAGGATTTTCACTGTAACCAGACATATTCTTATGCAGACAAAGTGGTAAGACACCTATCTGCTTTCTTTTGCTGATTATAGTATGGTGCTGCAGTTTCTCTGACTTTTGTGCACTTCCAGGAGAGCCACAGCATCTTTTGAATAACCTCAGTAGTCTGCAATTCTCATCAGAGACCTTTAGGCTGTGACTTAAACCAAAAAGTTAGTAAACAAACTGAGGAATTGTGCAGAATATGTGTGCACTGTGTGTTCTGCTCACACAGAGCTAAAGCAGCTGATCCTCAGCATTTCACAGGGCAGGACTTTCAAACTAGTAGTTTGCAGCTTAGTAGTTCACATATGACTGAAAAGTTGTGTGCTGCTGCAAAATGACACATAGCTTAGCAAAGGTGCTGCTGCTTTTGCTGGTGCTGGTTGTAGTATCTGCTGTGCCTGTCATAGGCAGTAGAAACACTCAATCAAAAATGTTTGCAAGACCCTGGCATATAGAAATAGTGCTGAGTTTATGTCCCCGTAAGGTTTCTCTGAAACAAACAGGAAGTTAATAAAAAAAAAGAGATTGTGCAAATTGTCTGTTAACAGTGTTTTCTAGTCTGGCCAGTTATAGATTTTATATTGCTTTTCCCCCTCATTTATTTTGAACTTCTTAATTTCAGTTTAACAAAACGTAACACTCAGAAACAAAAACCTCAATGAGTAAGAACAGCACTGGGCTTTCATATACTCATCGAAAGGCTTTGTGTTTTTAATGAGTAAGGCATATTATTTGTTGGAATTTGAATTGATTGTTGCAGAGGTGCCAAGCTGCCATGGTTCGACTCCTGGAGATTGGAGAAACCATTGCTACAGGCAGAACATCCTGGGGACCCCTGTGCAAATCAGCTGGTGAGTTATGAATAGATGCCTACTAAAAGAGGACATGGAGTAACTACCATTTCAGTATTCTTTTTTACTGGCAAAGGAACCTGAAGACCTGTGATACAAGATTTTCATGCCCTTCTGCCTCTTTTCCTGCAGAGCAGGTGTTCTTACTGAAGCCACATGGCAGTGTGGAGAAGCACGTGCCCTCCTTGGTGAAGTGACTGTCAGATTGTCAAGGGAATGTGGAAAGGAAGATAAAGTGCTTTGTGTAGCTATTTGCACAGGGCAGCAAGTGCAGCAACCACAAAACCAAACAGTTATTTCCACTGTAAAGTGTGAAAGCAGCTTCAATCTTTAGACTGCAATCAGTTTTCCAAGTGTTTACACTGTTGTTAGTCTGCAATTATATTGAGCTCTGAAGTCCAAAATCAGAGGATGTAAGAGATTTTATTGTGTTTCCTTTGGCTCCTTGGTCTTGACTTCATTACTACCTTGAGGGAAAGTGGCAGAGCACAGCTGATGCACAACACCTTGGTTAACCTGGTGGAGCAGAGCAGCACAGCTTAACAGAGAGCAACCAGCACTATGTACAAGGAAGATCTAATTTCTTCTGCACCTGCCTCTTCTGCATTTAACCTGAGTGATTTTTTTCAAGGGTGGTCTTTAACATTTTCAGTCATTTAGCCTCCCCCAGCCATTTGCATTCACAGAAATCATAAAATTCAGGGGTTGGAATGGACCTTACAGATCATCCAGTCCCAACCCCCTGCCCTGAGCAGGGACACCTCCTCACTAGACCAGGTTGCTCAAGGCTCATCCAGCCTGGCCTGGAACACCCCCAAGGTCGGGGCAGCCACCACATCCCTGGACAACCTGTGCCAGTGTCTCATCACCCATAGAGTAAAAAAACTCTTTTCTAATATCTAACCTAAACTTTCCCTCCTTCAGTTTGAACCCATTACCCCTTGTCCTGTCACTGCAGTTCCTAACACAGAGTCCCTCTCCAGCTCCTTGTAGCCCCTTCAGAAACTGAAAAGTTGCTCTGAGGTCTCCACACAGTCTTCTCCAGGCTGAACAGTCCCAGCTCCCTCAGCCTGTCCTCACAGAGGAGATGCTCCAGTCCTGTTCCTTCTCAGGAAGGCCTGTTCTGTCTGTGTCTGGCTACAGGCTGCCATTTCCACTGTGCATGTTCTTTTTCATTCCTTTTTATAGCATCCAATTTGAAGAGAGAGAAGGAATCTGGAATGGGAGTTGGATACACCATCCTCATCACCTTTGCTGTGTTTGGTTTTGTGCTGGGAGTTGTGAGCCTTATCATTTTCCAGTACCAGCGAAAGACAGGAAGATACAACTTCAGAATCAAGTCTGACAACTTTGGCTACCAAGTGTTCTATGATTAATGATCCACAGGTTACAATATGTAAGTGCTCAATTATGATCAGTTACTTTTTTCTGGTGTTTATCTCTTTCTGAAATGGTTAAATACTTGCAGATTAACATCCTCTATTTGAGAGTATTTGAACCTGCTGTTCTTTTTGCGGTGGGTGAAGGCCATAGAATCACAGAATTTAAGGTTGGAATGGACCTTACAGATCATCCAGTCCCAATCCCCTGCCCTGGGCAGGGACACCTCCTCACTAGATCAGGTTGCTCAAGGCTCACCCAGCTTGGCCTGGAACCCCACCAGGGTTGGGGCAGCCACAGCCTCCCTGGGCAACCTGTGCCAGTGTCTCACCACCCTCACAGCAAAAAACTCTTTCCTCACATCTAACTTAGCCTTCCCCTCCTTCAGTTTGAACCCATTACCCCTTGTCCTATTACTGCAGTTCCTAACACAGAGTCCCTCTCTGGCTCCTTGTAGATATCCCTTCAGATATTGAAAAGTTGCTCTGAGGTCTCCACACAACCTTCTCTTCTCCAGGCTGTCAGCCCCAACTCCCTCAGCCTGTCCTCATGGGGGAGATGCTCCAGTGCTCTTAGCAACTTTGTGGCCTCCTCTGGACTTGCTCCAACATTTCCATGTCCTTCTGATGTTGAGGACAACAGAACTGTGTGCAGTATTCCAGGTGGGGTCTCACAAGAGCAGAGGGAAAGAATCACCTCTTTTGACCTGCTGCCCACACTCCTTTGGATGCAGCCCAGGAGTCCATTGGATTTCTGGCAGTAGAAACAGCAATTCCTACTGTTTCTGCCTGTTTTCAAATGCTGCAGATAGCAAAGAAGGAAGACAGCATTGTGTTCTTCCTCTTCCTTCATGGCTTCTATTTCAATCAGAGTAAATGACACACCACTTCAGAAGAACACCAACAATCATTTCCACAAAAAGCACCTCACTCTTGGTTTTTGACCATGGATTAGTACAACAAAGGAGAAAAACTTTACCACTCTCTTTATAAATTTGCTTCAGAAGTTATCCCTTTCTGCAAAAGCTTGGGTTTAATTATTTAAATTATTTTAGTCAATGTTTCTCAAGAAAATAGTGGGATGTGAGACATGAAGAGCTTGAAATACTGATGATGCTTCATCAGTGGTTGCAGGTGCCTGCAGAGAGTCTGAAAAGACAGCTCTGAGGAGACTTAAACACTGCCATGTGGTCTGCCTCTACAACTGGGGAATGCAACACTTTTCCAGGATACCATGAGATTCAGCACTTTTTCCTGTAAAATTAACGTGTTCTAGAAGCTCACACCAATTGTATGCTTGTCTCTTTAAGTGGAGGAGAGAGGTGAGAAAGCTGGCAGGCTGAAAAAGCACACCTAACACTACTTCACAACTCAAGGATGTTTACTGTGGATCAAATTCTCTTCCTGGAAACTGAATTGTTTGACACCTTTACCAGAGTTAGTCAGTAACCTTTTCCTGATGGAGGCCTCATACATGAAAACACAGCTGCTATGACCACAGTAAATTCACTAGACTCATCATGATGGTATTTGCAGATAGCTTAGTTTGCTTCACTGAGTACAATAATGCTTAATGCATATCACAGAGAAAGGCAGGAAACACTGTATCCCAGCTATCTGCTTATAAAATCTTCAATAGTCACTATTAGCTCTGTTTCCCCATCTTACATCACATAGTCCACCCTCTGCAGTCATCCATCTGTGGGCAGCTCCTAGGAGATGGCTGGAGGTGAGGGTGATGCTGATTGCTCCTCAAGGGCTGGGCAGGGCTTCCTGCTGGGAGCCCAAAGGAAAAGTACCCAGGACTCCTTGGTACAGCTCCAGCAGCTGTACAGTTCCATCAGGAATACAGATCTCACCATGGAGCCATAACCCAGCATAAAAGGCATACCAAGATTCATTAAATTAAAACATATATATGAAGCCTCTGAGTGTCTCCACAGAGGTGAGAATAGCTTGCTTACATTTGTCATTCTGCTCTCCTGAGTGATCATGGGTGTTTGCAATACCTGATATTGCTCCCTAATATTGCTCCACCTCTACTATCAATACCTGATATTTCTCCCTCTCTACTCTGCCCTTGTGAGACCCTCACCTGGAGTGCTGTGTGCAGTTCTGATGTCCTCAGCATAAGAAGGACATAGAACTGTTGGAGCAAGTCCAGAGGAGGCCATGAAGTTGCTAAGAGGACTGGAGCATCTCCCCTATGAGGACAGGCTGGGGGAGTTGGGGCTGCTCAGCCTGGAGAAGAGAAGGTTGTGTGGAGACCTCATAATAACATTCCAGGATCTGAAGGGGCTCCAGGGAAGCTGGAGAGAGACACTGTGTTAGGAACTTCAATTATAGGACAAGCAGTAATAAGGATAAATTGAAAGAGGGGAAATTTAGATTAGATATTAGGAAGAAGTTTTTTGCTGTGAGGGTGGTGAGACACTGGCACAGGTTGCCCAGGGAGGCTGTGGCTGCCCCAACCCTGGCAGTGTTCACAGCCAGGTTGGATGAGCCTTGAGCAACCTGATCTAGTGGGAGGTGTCCCTGCCCAGGGCAGGGATTTGGGACTAGATGATCTTTAAGGCCCATTCCAACCCCTTATCATTCTATTACTATTACTATGACAGTAATTGGAATTCTGGAATTGTGCAAAGTGCTTGTAGCATAAAGGATATTGTCAGGCTCATAACATACATCATGTTGGAGTCTCAGCTAACGGCTCCTTTTAGAAGCTGGAACTACTCAGCTCTTCTTTCCTATGTATTTACTTCTTTGGAAGGTAGGTGACTACCTGTCTCAATCATGATTAATTTGGGGCTTGTTTTTTTCCTAGTGGGATCTTGTCTCATAACATGGAGAACAGAAGCTTCTCTTCCCTCAACGTTTGGCTTTCAATGCTCTTCACATTGGTGGCCATGATGGGTTGCAACACTGACTCTTCCAAATTCATGTCTGGCTTTCCTCTGCCACAGGGGGTTATAACAATCTGTCCAACTCCTTCTCAGCCTCCCTGGTGTCTCTAAGTCTCCTGACTGTCTCCTCTTCTCATAACATGGAGAACAGAAGCTTCTCTTCCCTCAACGTTTGGCTTTCAATGCTCTTCACATTGGTGGCCATGATGGGTTGCAACACTGACTCTTCCAAATTCATGTCTGGCTTTCCTCTGCCACAGGGGGTTATAACAATCTGTCCAACTCCTTCTCAGCCTCCCTGGTGTCTCTAAGTCTCCTGACTGTCTCCTCTAACTCTACTACCTGTGTAGTCTTCAGCCATAACATGGAGAACAGAAGCTTCTCTTCCCTCAACGTTTGGCTTTCAATGCTCTTCACATTGGTGGCCATGATGGGTTGCAACACTGACTCTTCCAAATTCATGTCTGGCTTTCCTCTGCCACAGGGGGTTATAACAATCTGTCCAACTCCTTCTCAGCCTCCCTGGTGTCTCTAAGTCTCCTGACTGTCTCCTCTAACTCTACTACCTGTGTTTGTAAGTCTTCAGCCAGGGCACACCTGTTGCAGCTATGTGGGTTGTCCTTTTCCTGCTCCCTGATACTCCTTATCATCCTCATTTCTTCCTTTATCTCTGCTACCAGGCTAAGTAGATGCCATACCTGTTCATACCTTGTACATGCATCCTCCCTGCTGCCCTTAGGTATCTTTCCCAGGCTTAGGCATTGCTGCATATAAAAGGCTTATACACCTCTTTTTTTTTTCTCCTCCCATTTTTTTTCCTTAGCAATCTGGCTCTTCCCTGATGTCCTAAGAACACTTTGTGACTACAGCTCCACATTGAATGGAATTTAGGCAGTTTTTCTGTGCATAGAATAGAAGGAAAACCCCAAAGACCTCATGGTTCTCTATTCAAGTTCCAAGATTTGACTCTCCCATTGTGCCACATCACTATGTGCTCATCTTAGCATCACTCATGCCTTTACTATTGACAAGCTGCATGTTTCTATAAATATTGCAGGAAATAAATCAGCAAAGCCACAGAGAGATCTCCTCTGCAGTTTGTAATTCACTGTTTACTTAAGGTGAGGTTGAAACTTTGAGTGGAAACAATTTTAAAAACCTAATTGTGCAACGCCTTAAGTACACAGGAGCTGGAGAACAAGTGTAGGATTTGCCAGCAAATAAGGAAAAGGCACCAGGAATCTGAGGTTTAACCTAGGACTGTTCTTCAGCATGAGTTTTGAGATTTGATTGTAAATTCAGTCATTGACAAGGACTCAGTGGGGAAAAAAAGGTGAAAAGAAACGATTATTGCTACTGGCAGCCCATGTTTTTCAGCTAAGTCAATTAGTACCTGTGCGTTCTGTTAATTAGACCACAATGATTGTGCAGTCAAGCCACACAGTGCTATCCACCTAAGTGAGAGCACTCCCACTGCAACTGAGTAACTTTGAGCTGAATTTTGCCTGGCTGCAAGACCATTAGTGCAGCAGCAAAGGCTCAGTTTGCATGTTCTGATAGGTACAACAACAGTCTGTTCAGCTGGATAAACCAGGACAAAAATGTTTTCCACACAGTAAGCACCTCCTGCAGGACTCCTTCCTGGGGTGCTCTTCTCTGCTGCCCCAAACCTCCACTTCACTGAGTGTGTTGGGAGATGGAGAGTGAAGTAGTCTTGTAGCTTGTCCCTCAGTTCTGCTTGCTGCATCCACTCCTCCTGCACAGGGATACTCTGTTTTCTGGGTCACAGCTAATTCAGTACAATGAACAAGCTAATTCCTCCTTAAGGACATCATCATAAATAACTGAGTGGAAATTGTTCCTTAACTTGAACTCATGAATATTCTTAGTAGCCTTAGCATTTAGGTGCTGTTATTTTGGTACAGAATAGCATTGGATAGTTGTTTTTATATCCCCCTAGTAGAATTTATGTCAGGCAATAAGATTCCTGGGTAAAAGACTTCCACATCTTGCAATTGATCCTAGAGGTTATATACACACCTTTTAAACACATCAGTACAGTTCAGACTAATCATTTGCATTCTGCTGTTGATT